CCGGTCAATCTCGAACCGCTCGTTTCCCCAACATGGAACTGTGATGCATATCTCTGAGAACCGCCTTCCGATGCAATTACCGGCGGTTCATTCAGAAATGCCCAGTTACTGCTCACCCACCTGAAATTAATTATTAAACCAAATCAATATTTAAAAATAAAAAATAAAAACCAAAGCATTTAAGTAGAAAATTAACATAAAAACATAAAAAATTGCGCAACATTACCAGCCATTTTTCCGTATTATTTTATCAAGTCCTGCTTCACTTTCACCACCTTCCTCAAGTAGAATTTTCTGCATATAATTTATCATAAATCAATTCTTATTTCAAGAAATTAATAATAATAATAATAATAATAATAATAATAATAATAATAATAATAATAATAATAATGGAAGATGTTACGGTCGGTTACAACAACTATTTTGTCGGGTTTGTAACCGGTAGATCCCTAAAGATTAAAGGATCTAATGGTTAAAAATTCCGACAGACTTTTTAGGCAATTGAATGAAGTGGTTAGGACCACATCCAATAACAATAAGAAGGGTTTCGTTTTTTCAAATGAACAACTTGAAGGGCCCCTATCCATTTATTCATTCGACCTAACTTTTTTTTGTTCCGTTCTCAAAATTCGAACAAGATTTTGTACCGAGTCAAGATTTCGTCTTATGAACTTTAGGGTGTATGAAGTCTCAGATTTTACGAAAGAGAGAGAATTTAACTGTTCCGTGACGGGACCGTAGCATTTTCCATAATAATAATAATACCTTGCTGCGAGGTGAGAGAAGAGAAATATCCTTCAAGTGCTCCTCCTCAATCTGTCTCTTTGATTTCCAAAAGGCTTCAATTTCTTCCTTTGTGAGAGATTTATTCCTCTTACACTTAACTGAAAATAATAAAAGGCACACAAATAAATAAATAAATAAATGCTAATTATTGTAATATAAAATATGGATAACAAAATTAGGCAAACACACAAAAAATAGTAAAAAAATTGCACTAACCAAGATTTGGATCTGAAAAAGGAGAGTCCCAACCAGCCATAAGAGAACCCATTTGTTTGTAATTGCTATTGATAAAACACTCACAAATTAACTGAGATTCTTGTTTTAGAGTATAGTGTGTGTCACAATTGCAGCTTTTGTTTTTTGATATTATTGAAGAGCTATTATTAAGTCTATACTATATAGATGGAGTTTTAATAATATTTTAGTGGTATGGTGGGCACATTTGATGACATTATTTTAGTTCATTTGTTCTTATCTTTAACACATAAAAGAATGTGTATATTTTAGTACAGGCATCAACTTTAGGGATAAAACCTTGGACTTTGGGTTGATGGTTTTCTGTATGGCTGCTAGAGTATTCTGTTACACAATCTGTGTTTGAATTAAGGGAACCTATGAACTTAATAAAGATGATTTCAGTTCTTACAAAGTGAATTAAAATAATATCAAAAATTATAAAAGAGAAAGCGAAAAAAACTCGAAGCGATTGCTCTTTCTGCAAGACGAAAACGCCCTGTATAGTGCTGATGGGTTCATGCGTCTCGTCCCTAAAGATACAACGACTTACGTTTCGAATGCTGTAGCACACCATAATTTGAGCTCCGACGAGCTGGAATAAAGTCGAGAACAAAGTACTTTTGATATGATGCGTGAGATTTTGAGAGTATTCAGAATGCATGCACTGTTGTGTCTTTTTCTCTGCAGCTCTAAGTCTTTTATAGGACTTCCACCTTTTGAGGGAAAACAAACAATCACATCTGTCACTTAAGGCAGAGATAATAGGGCAAAAACGTTTTTTAGGTGTTAATACACCATTAACCGGGAGTTAACACCATTAACTAGTAATTAACCCCATTAACACTCCACCTGAACAGTCACATTCCACATGAACTGTCAGGTGTCCAGGTTCATAGTACCTGGTGAGACCAGTCCGAATCAAACTTGGATTTTTCAGTTGGGCCTAAAATTGCAAATAAATTTGCAGCAAAAAGATGTATATATCATTTGGGCCCAAAGCCCAAGCCCAACCGCCCAAGACCGCCCAAGTCCAGCCCAAAGTCCAATTGCCAAGAACCAAGGACCAAGTCACAGGCCCGGGCCCGGGTCGGCCCACACGCGCGCGCGTGGCCGAAAACAACACCAACACTTGGTGCATAGTTTTGTGCTTGTTGTAACCTCTCCAACTCCCTTTATTATAATAAAGAGAGTTAATCTCATTTAAGAGTCCAATGTAGGAATGACTTTTGACCCTTCAAATCCCACAACCAACGTTTTACGTGTCTTTTTATGGCTAACTTTAACAATTTATTTCTCACTCACCGAAAATCAGTTTTGAGAAAATAAATATACCACGAGTATCTACTCGAAACGTAGAATTTTTCTACAATATTTAATTCACCTCAAATTAAATATTTAGTCATAAAAAATTAGGTCAAAACTGGGTCAAACCCAAGTTTTATAACTGATTTTTTCAACATATTCTAGCTGCCCAAAGATTTCCATTGTACTTTATATATTTTTAAATATAGTTTAGTAAATATTTCTAAACAACTATCTCAACTTAAAATACGTCTAAGTTTAAATAATAATATTAATATATTTTAAACAATTATGATAACAAAACAATATAATTAATATCTAAAAAAACTGAAAATTACCATCGAACCTGTCTAGGAGCGCCTAAGACCATTTAGGCACTGTCTTGATGTCGAGCCCGTCTGGCGCTGTCTGACCGATTTTTTCAGCCGATTAATGTAAAATTGGAGGCGGTCGATCGACGCCTAATGTTTATATATATATATGCTATAAATGATATATGGTTTATGTATTTGTTGATTTATAGTTGATAATGTTTTTAGTTTAATTCAAACTAGTGCGTATCCCGTGCAATGCAAGAGTATATAAATTTGGAGAATATTATAGTTTGACATGCATTAGGATATATGAAAGTTTAATACATACAAACATTATTCATCATAAAATGTTCGTCACTAAACAATCTTATATTATTAAAATCCTCATTGTACACAATATTATAAGTTTGATTATTGGGTAACTCGTTGTGAGGAGCACGGGCCGACTCGGGCCGGACGCGAATGTTTATTGTTGTCACCAAAAAAATTGCCTCAACATTGGACAACTTTTCTAACTTCCAACTATATTATAAATTATATTTAATTCCAAGTTTAACTTTTTCATTCCTATTTTATGTAGATAGTTATTTTACATTCCCAACTATACTAATAAAGTATATTTTTAGTTTGAATCATGTAACTTCCTTAATATTGAGTTGAATAATTTATAGATAGAAACATAATTTAATGATTCCCTCTAATTTCTCTCCCCTCTCCCTTTTACATATTTCATATTTCACAATTTTCTCCAAATAAAACAAAAAATTACATACAACTATTATTAGGTTGACCATCAAATAAATCAAAATAAGACTGTAAATAAACGTAAACTTTTTCTTAATAATTTCTATATTTTTTTGAAAATAGTAATTGTTATGTTTCGGTTTTGACAAAAAATTGGTTTGTTTGTTTTTTATTAATTGTTCATGAATATGCTATCTATCTTAATTTTTGTTCAAAATTGGTTTTTACTTTTATCATGAAATATATCATTTTAGTCATCATTGGACATAAGCTCATAGGATGTGATGATAAATATACATTTAGTTATAAAAAGGTTGTTGGACAATGCATAAAATAGAAAGTTTGACTATATAAATAAAAGTGTTGACCTTCCATTAAAGATCTTTTTTTATTAAAAAAAAAAAATCATATGCAACTTTTTTACTGTATTATTTTTAAAAGAGAATTAGATGTGATATATATTCAAAATCGAATCCATATTTTTTGGTAACAAAAATAAATTCTTCATTTTAATGTCAAATCTTATCTAATTGGTTTTTTTAAAATTTTTTGAATTATCCCCAGCTACAAAATCCATTTGAATATAAATCTCATATCTTGATTACATTTGCACTTATTCAAAATTGAAAATATTGTTAAAAGTTGCACAGTATCCGTAAATATAGTTACACTTATCCGAAAACATTTGCACTTACTCAAATCAGACATAAAAGTATAGTTACACAATATCCGTAAATATTGTTATGTAATTTTTGAAGTAATTAGTAATTAAAAAAAAGATTGCCATTAATGAAAGCTAATTAATGATGTCTAAATTTGACCAAAGAGTTGACTTGCCATTTTTGAAAAATGGTAAATCTTATGAATATACCATATTGTTGGCCCGGATGCATTGTGGGCTCCCAAAAAAATTATCTTATCTTATCTTATTTTAATGAAGTCACCTTTTTTCTGGTAAAATGGTTTAAAAAATTAACAAACTAATATGATATGCAATCAATTAATGTTGTCCGTGATTAAAGGTTTATTAAAGTAACAATAAAAAAAAATATTTCCATTAATAGTAACTAATTAGGGGGTGATTGTTTATGAATTCAACTAGTAAAAAACTAGTCTTTTTTAACTATAGTTAAGTTTAAAAAAAAGTAATATGGTTAGTTGTTAGTGGATATATTAAAATAATATTTAAATTAAAATAATTAAAATTGATTTGATGTAAAAATAGGAGAAAATGATTGGAAGTGATGGTTAGTTAAAATTATGTGAGTGGATGAATAGTGAATTAAAGTTGATGTGATATGTAAGGTTGATATTATTTAATTATATTGATAATATTGGAGATAGTGGAGTTGAGTTAAAATTGAGTTTTGAGTGAGATATTTACTGTAAAATTTATAAACAATCACGCCCTTAATGTGTCTGAATTTGATCAGAAATTTGAATTGCTATTTTTAAAAAAATGATAAATCTGTTTATATATATAGATATAAATTACTTATAGTTGATTTTGGGTTTATATTAGAATTTTTGTGAAGAATTTGATCAGAATTTTTACTTCAATTTTAATACGAATATTGGCTTCAATATGAGTTTCTTCTTTACGAGTGTATTGGGCGATATTTCAATATTTTCACTCCAAAACTGTATATTTAATTTATAAAGTTTAAAATGACTAAAAATAAAACTATTGAAAAAGTATCTTTAAAATGGAAGTTTTAACATAAAAGAGTATTTTAAAATGGAAGTTTTAACATAAAAGAGTATATTTATGTACTTTTTTTTTTGGGGTGCAAAGTATATTTATGTACTTTAGCCTTTAGCCATTATGCTTGTAGTTGTAGACAGGGACTTGGTATTCTCAGTCGGCCAACGCTATTTATCAATAATTAAAAATGCATATGAAAGAATTTCAAGGGCACGAGTTTTAGCTGAAGGGTATAAATTAGAGTTGCAAATGAATCGAACATTCGCATACAAAAACTCGTTCGTATTTGACAAAAATCTCGTTCGTTTGTTAATCGAGTCGAGTTCGAACAGAAAGTTAGGCTCGTTTAATAATCGAACGAACACGAGCTCGTTCGTGAACGTTCGATTATGTTCGCGAGCATTAATTTCATATAATTTTATTTTATTTTTTATATATGTATTGTACATAATATTTTTATTAAAAAATAAAAAATTTAATATAATTTTATTTATTATAGATATATTTACATTATATTTTTAATAAGAAATATAATATATAAAATTAATTTTATTTTATTCTTTTCTTTTCGAGTTCGAACGAACAAATTTCGAGTTAATCGAACATATTTAAAAATTTTATGTATTAAATTATCCGAACACGAACGAACTCGAACTCTGACGAACAATTAAAAGAACAAACTCAAACACGAAATTTTTGCTCGAAAAATAAACGAACACGAACACTGTTTGAACGTAAACGAACACGAGCTCGAACAACCCAAGCTCGGTTCGGTAAAGTTCATTTACACTTTACAGTACTAGTATAAACTAGAGGTGGTCAAGAGCCAACCCAACCCATCGGCTCGACACTGAACCGGTCCCGGACCGGCTCGCAACCAGCCCGAATTTCGACGATTCTATGAACCGGAATAGTGGCCATGTGGGTCGGTTCTTGTTCTTTTTTTTTTTTTTCCTCGGCGGTCTA